TTATCTTCTTTATTTCTTAAGGTTTTACCCTAAGAATCAACTATCCTTCATTCATTCATTCCTAAGGATTGACCTAAGGAATTGGCACAAAATCCATTGCTAAATAAGGCGCATCTGCCAACTTTATCCTTTAAGCCCCTCTGCCAAGATTACGACATTCACTATTAGGCGCATCTGCCAACATTATCCTTTAAGCGCATCTGCCAGGATTATCCTATAAGCGCATCTGCTAGTATTATGACATTCTCTAATTGGTGCATCTACCAATATTATTCTTAATCATCTTACATACCTCATCATTTACCTCATCATTTTATCACATACCAACTATCTCATCTACCCATGTTCTACCCAACATATTAGTAGATATAAAATACATATACAGTTTAACTCATTTAAAAACCTGCACCAACATTGCATTCAATACCATCTCAGATAAACAAACAATTTATTAACACATAGTACGTAATTCATAGCAAATACTTCATATTTATGTGTTAGAAGAAAGTGACTATACACTCACTTGATAAGACAATGATCGGACATCACCTCGTCCCTTAAAATAAACTTTTCCGATAGAACCGGGATGTTTTCCTTGAAAACCGGGCTTCTCGCGGGCAGAGTTTCGGCTCGGAAACTTTACTTCTCGGGATCTTCGGGGCTTCGGAACTTGCTTCGGGGCTCGGGAATGATACCGGGGCTTCGGGATAATTCTGGCACGAAAAACGAGAAAAAAACGGGAGAGAAATGAAGAATGGAGCAAAAGATCTCGGCTGCCCTCGCATGCCTTTTATAGAGGCTGAAGCCTCGCATTACGTTGGGCGTAATGCTCAGTACGCAGGGCGTACGCTTCGGATTCGTCACTGCATGCGTCATCGGAGCACTCGAGTGCGAGCCGGGTCACGCTTCGGTGTACGCTGGGCGTACAGCTCTACGCTGGGCGTAGTTCGGATAGGATCAGTGACTGCTTCGGATATTATCCGGAATTCTTAATTAAATATATATTTTAATTATTTATAAAAATTCCGAAATTCATATCTTCCTCATACCAACTACGTTTTTGATGTTCTTTATATCCACGCGTAGGTGAGACTACGCTCTACAACTTTCGTTTAGACTCCGTTGGCTAATTTTGAATTTATTTTTATTATATTATTTTTAGTAGGCCGGGAAAGGAAAACTCCGTTATAAATCCATAACTTCTTCATCTGACATCCGTTTTCGTCTGTCTTTTTACCGTTGCACTACAAATAACGAGATCTTCGATTCTCGTTTAGATTGTTTCGGCTAAAAATCACTCGATCTCAAAATCGAACTTCGGGCTGCATACTGCTAAGTCGAAACTTAGAAAAATCATAATTTCCTCATACGAAGTCAGATTTAGACGTTCTTTTTATGCACGCTCTCGGTTTACCATAATCTACAACTTTCGTTTAGATCACTAAGGCTAGATATCGCTCTATCTTAAATTCATATTTTACGTCCTTTAGCGTCGTGCCGGTTCCGTCGCGAAACTTCGACAGGTCATAACTTCTTCGTTATAACTCGGATTTCGGCGTTCTTTATATTTTCGGAAACCTTGAGACATATACTATAACTTGGTTAAGATTAATCCTTCTAAATAATCTTCCATCAAAAAGTCATTTTTGATGCTTATCGTCTCTAAATTGACTAGCCCGAATATACGGGCGTTACAGTCACCTTGACCAAACCACGTAAATATTGTGTCTTGTGTGCTTATAGTTTTGCTAGTTATCCGTTTTACTTCCTAACAAGTTGATTGGAGTGTGGGTTATGACATGGAGTAGAGTTGAATGGAGGAGTTAAATGATAATTGAATGGTTCAACAGAAAGAGTAAAGTGGTGATAAGGATTGAATTGGTGTTTAATGGGTTGTGAGTGGTATTGTATAGATGTTTAATGGATGATTTAGCAATCCATTGAATTGTATAGAGTTGAATGGATTGTGGATGCCCTAACACATTGATGTATGTTATTTAAAGCTATAACAACCGACTTAAGTAAAAGACCAAATTACCCTTCTCAACTCAAACTTATTGTAACACAAGTAAAAGTCAACCATAACATTCAAACACTTGAGGCTTAGCTCGCCTGGTGTAGATAAACCTCAAAGGGGGTTTACAACACACTTTACCCATTAGGCCATTACCATCTTCTCTTATTAGCAACTCCAGGAGCAGGTTTGAGAATATGAGAAGCATCTGCCCCAAAGTATAGGAGGATATGACTGGATTGAATCACAAAAGAAGGAATTGCGTGTTGTGTTTTCTTATACATAGAAACAAAAAACCCTGAAAAGGACTTTCAAATCCAGTTGTTGTTAAGATTGAATTATTTATCTTTAAGGGGGAGTGTTAGTGTGTATCATACATCAGTATGACAAGGCCTTGTAAATGTCTATATAGGCAATTATTTTGGAGTTCTCTCTCATGGCTCTTTTGAAAAGACAATGTACTCCATGTATTGGGAATGTACTTATAGAAAGTAAAGAACGCACTTAATTACAAACGAACGCAAAATAACTTGTAAGGAAATGTTATCATTACAATAATCATAAACCAAAATGAAAGAATATATTTGTTTTTGTAGCACAAAATGACCATCGTCCCCAACTGCATACAACATCTACAAGTCGTCATCTTCTCATCTTTTACATTTTAAGTTCCTGTAATAAACGACACAAAATATTACATCCCAAAAGAATTTATTTTAAAATTTTATTAAAGGCTAAGTGAAAATTTAAACCGTATCATATTTTTCTCTTTTGCCTTTACGAAGCAAAGAGGTAGAGGATGGAAAGCAAAGGAAAACACTTTTTTTTAATGAAAAAAGGGAGACAGGTACTAACATTGGATTGTTGTATAACTTTATTTTTTTTACTAGCAAAATATACATGGCCCTTTTTTTACATGTTCCATGATAGTTTTAGACTTCTATAGAAATTTTGTAATCATCACACAGTCATCTAATGTGGATCTTTTTTAATTATGATCTTTGAATGCTACAAAAGGAACGCAAATATTGAAACTTGAAACTCAAATTAGACTCATGGGTATGTTCTCAATAGTTATCGTATCGGAACTGTAAAAAAAGGCGTATTCCCTTCCTATTGGTTACCATACTGAATAATTCATGCATGTTTATAATCTTGTTTTTTAAAAAATGGAGTTCTTCAACATAGTTAAATAATAGGACTTACTTGAAAATCAATTGCATCCTCAAGTTTGTCGATGATTGTGTCCATCGTCGGGCGTTCCCTAGAAACGAAGCTTATACATTGATAGGCAATTTCTTTGAATGTATGAAAACTACGACTATCAATTTGATCTTTGATATCAGGATCGATTAATCTCTCAGGTCCGTTTTCATAGTAGTGTCGGACAAGATTTATCAAATATTGTGGGTTACCATCTACAAACTCTATTTGGTGATAAGCTGGTCTCCCACTCAACATTTCAAACAACACAACACCAAATGAGTAAATGTCTGACTCTTTACAGAGAATGCCGCTTCCATAGTAAATGGGGTCCATGTAGAAGTTATTGGTACCAGAAACTTTAGTAAAAATTTGACTACTTTCCTGATTTCTTGGGCCTTCTGTTGACAAACCGAAATCACATATTTTAGCGTCCATATTTTCGTCTAACAAAATGTTCCCACTCTTGAGTCCCTGTGTATTACTCTGTGGTGCTTCCCTAGACCTGAGAGAAGATAGTCGAGTCCTTTTGCTGCTCCCAAGCAAATCTTGAGGCGTTGTGCCCATGTTAGGGAACGCCTTTTAATCGGGTCTACAAGATATTAATCAAGACTTCGATTGATTGCATATTGGTAAACTATAATCATCTGATTTTGTTCATCACAGTAGCCAACAAAAGGGATGATGTTTGGATGGTGGAATCTTGAAATCAGATTAATCTCTGCATGGAACTCCTTCTTCCCTTGGTAACCTTGTGGATTAAGGCATTTGATACCAACTGTGCAGTTTTGCAAGCTTTGAGACAACTGTCCTTTGTAAACTGCACCAAATCCACCTTCTCCGATTAAAGTTTGAGGGTTGAAATTTCCGGTTGCCAAGTTGATCTCGTTTAGTGGAATTTGATAAGTATCTAGGCTACGTGTGGTAATGCTATAAGCTGATCCTTGGTTCTGTGTGCACAAAAACAAAAACAAATTTAAATAGATATGCCTTGCCATTCTTTTCCTTTACTGAACAATATGACTCGAAGAGTCATTGATAACATGAATCCCACACCTCACATCTGAATTTCTTTTTTGTTTTTAATCAAAACATTTAATTCATGCAATAGTAGCAACTAATAAATTTGGTTTCTTGACAACTTAAAAACAATTTGAATCTTTTTCATAAAAAAAGTGGCTACCTTTTATTTTATATCATTCTCATCCCATATATTTACTTACTTTATTAAGAATTTATAACAATATATAGAGTAAACTTCATGTTTTTTTTTCCTGATATTTATAGATAATGTTTAAAAAGTTTTCATCTTCTGTTCCAAAACAAGATAATTTTTTTTTCTGTATTTGGTATATACCTTCCAAAGTTAACTATTTTGACTTTTAATTTGTATTTTAAATTTTTTTACATTATTGTCGCTTGATTAATTAAATTATATAATAAAAATCTAAATATATATGAGCCGTTTATGAGTTTTCAGGGCCTTGGACCTTGCATTTGCAGTATCTAACTTGTTTATTTTTTCTGTCCAACTTGCAGTAACAACCACATTTTGTTTTCCAAACATTTTTAGAAATGGCTCATACATCCTTAAAACCATTCCCTTATTAAAATAAAATTTTAATTTAATATATTGAAAAGAAAATACTTACTTGAAAATCCTGTGCTTCCTGAATCCTCTTGATGATCCTGTTCATAAATGGGCGATTGTCTACATTGGTACTGACGCATCGATACGCGATCTTCTTAAATGTATACAAAGAATGATTGTTAATTTGATCTCTTATAATGGGATCAATGAGCTTCTCCAGCGCGTCATCATAGTACTATCATCAATGCTCCTTTTATTATATGCGAGCATCTCACTCAACATTTCAAATAGAACTATCCCAAATGAGTAAACGTCTGATGCTGTCGTGACCATGCCACTTTCTTTGTAAAAGGGATCAATGTAGAATTGGGTACCCGTAGGCCGTTGGTATATTTGTGGCTGATTTCCATTGACTAATAGTGACAAGCCGAAACCACAAATTTTGGTGTCCAGATTGTTATCTAACAATATACTTGAGCTCTTCATGTCTCTGTGAATAACTGCCCTGTTCTCCCAGTGAAGGTACTCGAGTCCTTTGGCTGCCCCCATACAAATGTTCATGCGTTGTGCCCATGTTAGACAAAAACTCTTATCGGGATCTAGGAGATGATAATCAAGGCTACCATTGGTAGCGAATTCTGAAACTATAATCATTTCATTGCCTTGATCACAGTAGCCAATTAAAGGGGTGATGTTTTCATGGTTGTGATCCAAGCGTTTGAACGCAGCGGTGCGGTTTTCCCATTGTTTAGAGAGTTGTCCTCTGTAGACCATGCTAAACTCACCATCTACGATACGAGTTTCTGGACTGAAGTCTCTAGTGGCCAATCTGATCTCCTCTATTGGAATTAGAAAACTTTCTGGGATATCATGTTGAAGGCTTCCAAAAGTAACTGTTGGAGAAGCACAGGGGTTTTGCGAATACAAACAAAACCGAGGATGCTTGGAGGTACGTACTCATTCTGCCATTTACCAAAAGAAATTACATTCCATTACTTCCCATGTAACATTTTATTATTATTATTATTATTATTATTGTTATTATTATTATTAATTTATTCATTTATATGCATGACATAACTGGTTGGGGTTATGAAAATTGCAAATAAACAATTCCCTACTTCACCTCTGTTTTTCTTCACACACACACACATATATATATATATATATATATATATATATATATAATATATATAATATATAATATATATAATATAATATATATATATAAGGTTGAATTTGAGCATCACCCACATGAAATAACAAAGGATTGCGACCAACTTCATAGGTACTTGTTTGGAGAATAAGTATTTGGCATCACCCACATCAAGATCATTTCATGGATTATTGTCATGAGTGATGTTTGATAAAGGAAGTATATTTGTATTCTTCGACCTGAAATACATATTTGGGATTTATATGCAGGGATTATTTTGATTTGATATGGTTTAACATTGTTCATGTTAAAAAGTAATTATAAGGGCCATCATTAGGTATATCATGTGTAGTCAAGATGTGATTTGTTCATTTTATTCGTTGAGAGTTAGACATATAAGGCCTTCCAAAAACTTGAACAATATATAAGATTTGATTGTGATCGATGTCTCATGTTCAACATGATCTTCGTGAAAAAGGAATAACTGATAGCAGACCTTATAACCAATTGTAGCTTTGAACTCTTGAAAATGGGTAGTTGCTAGATGGCACCTCTTCTTGTGTTGTTGGGGTCATTAGTCAGTTGCTAGACGTCAACCAATGTCTATGTTAATTTATAATGAATCTTATATAAGTGGGAGATTGTTGAATCTATATGTTCACGAATCATTTTAAAATGATGTTTTATAATACTATATGAAACTATAGGGTCACACCTTTATCAAGTTGTCATTTATTGATTATTTATTAAGAATTCGGTTATTAGTAAATATATTTTACTATTGTAATTAAGTTTGCGGAAATTCTTATCTTGTAAAAGTAATATTGGGAAATTCTTATTTTATGAATATATTATTTTAAAGAGTATAACTAGCTATTTAATCATATGGTATGATTACATATGTTGTATACAAGTTTTTTGTTACTTAGTATTCAACTAGACATAATATGCATAAGTTTACTGGGGTGTATTTCTTGTTTGACTTTGTTCTTACAAAAGCATGCTTATAAGTCTCATCCATTTGCATTTAATGAAAGCATTAGCCTTATATCCCAAGTGTTAGTATATAAAGAAGACAAAGGGTAGCATTTCATGTTTGATATCTTTCGTTTATCCCCTAGCGGAGAGCGGAGAGCATGATGATCCCTCTCTTTTCTTCCTATCTTTTGAAGCTAGTGAAGATTTTGTGGTTTGGAAGTTATTCTCCTTTAAGACTTATTTATGATAAGTGCTTAAAGTGTAATGCCCCGTTCCCGGTACGTAATTTTAATTATTTTATTTTATTTTATTTCTATTGTAAGGCTAACTCGGGAATTTAATTTGATGGATATAGTGTCTAAGTCCATAACTTTATTTGGTATGTACTTGACCCGACCCGGCATGGTCCATTTGGGTTGCATGACATTGCAATACTTGGATAGACTAGATGAGAGAATAAGGCACTTATGATTATTAATATATTATAAGTTCTAATATATTAATAATAGTATTATTTAATTAGTATTGATCAAGTATTAATCTAGTATTAATTTGGTGATCAAAGTGAGACTAATTAAATATATAGGGTTGATTATGACAATCATCAATTCTTTTATGGTGGATTAATGATCCATGGTTTATGGGTTTGGTTATAACCATATGGAGCTCCATGGATAGTCCATGGGAGTTACAAACCCATGGGTCATGAGAAATCAAGAGTCATGACAATTAAGGGCATTCATGTGTAAACCCTAATTGTGACAACACTATAAAAGGAACCCTATGGCTAGCAAAATCGTGACCTAGTGTTACTAGAGAGGGCATAACCGATTTTGAGTGCTAGAAGTATTCTCTCAAGTTATTCCAAGTCTTGTGGTGTTGTGTGAAGCATTTGAGGCACAACATTTGGGGTGCTAGGCTCACAAAGTCTTGAAGGAATCCAAGCAACAACAAGGTATGTATTTCTACTAGTTTTATGTTTTATGTAATCCCCATGCCATGCTAGTTAGGAAATAACCTTGAAAAGAAATTTGCATGTATATAGAGAAAACATAGATTCAAGGTTATTAGGGTTGCATGTACACTTAGGAAGTGTTAGAATGCTCAAAACCCATCAGTGGTATCAGAGCCTAGGATTGTTTTCTGTATACTTGATGCAAAACTGCTTAAAAATCGAAAATTCTGCACTCTGACGACTGGACTCGCCGAGTCCATGGGGAGGACTCGCCGAGTCCATGAACAAATTCATCCTACTCGACGAGTAGAATAATGCACTCGGCGAGTAGGAGCGTGCTGGGCAGTTTTTTCGAGTTTTGTTGCTGGAAATGGATTAAGATCATTATCCCAATCTGTTTTGGACTTGTAAAATCTGTTTTTCAAAATGATAATGATTATGTTAACCCATTTTACATGACTTTTATCAATTTTCAAGTATTGTATATGTTTATATGATTTCTTGAAATTGCTTGACATGAATTTGTGTTCTTATGAGTTTAGAAGATCATAGGAATTATGTGTAACCTCCATGTGTGTTTAATTCATGATCTTAATGGCTATGATGGTGTCCATAACTTGTCCTCAAGTTATGGATAACCAAAAGTCACTTCTTTTAATTATGATTAAAGAACTAAAGAGGTTTCATAAAATGAAGAGTCTTCATTTTATGAACCATTAAAACTCATAAGTTACAAATTGAAGAGACTTGGAATAGTTTCAAATCTTGCCCTCAAGTTTTGGAATTTGAAAAGTCTTACACTTTAATACTTTAATTCCAAATTAAACCTTAGATTTTTAAAAAGTTTAAAAATCAACACTTATACTATTATTATAATTTTATTATATAGATATGTATAAGAATATGTCATTCTTACCGTTAGTAGGCCTCATTCACGAAGCCGGTCTATAAGGGGGGTATAAGGTTGTTGCCTATAAAATGGTGACTTAATGGGTGTCCACTCTCACCCACCGCTTCCTTGATCGGTGGAGGGTCGTTAGCCGAACGGGTAGGATACGACTTTAAATACTCGTTAAAAGTATAATGAATTATAAAGTAACTATACATTATAAATTCCCAATCTTAGTTACTTTAGGAAAATGTGAAATTGGTGCTAGCCCATAAAATTACACTTTGTACCTTACCAAGTCGTTAGTGGAGCGTGTGTGGTTAACCGGCACATCGATTAGGTAATATTGTTGAGGGTACCAAGTCAATTTGTATGGTTATTCACACCTTGTTTGTGATCCTCGGCATCCCAGTCACAAACTTGAGAGGGCACAATCGAGATTCAAACATGCCATTGAAAAGTTCAATGTATCTCAAAAGATCTAGGAGTTTCAAAACCAATAAAACCTAATAATAAAATATTTCGTTCTTATGGTGGAAATTGGTAAATCGTCATTTACCTACCTTCAAATATTTTATAGTATGGATTACGGCATCCCTCTTCCAACTATAAATAGTTTGTTGGATCCTAGCCTTAATATTTCATTTGGGTGAATTATTAAGGATTCCTAATCTAATGAAACTTGTCTTTCTTTCCTTTCAGATGTCTTCCAACAATGCTTCTGGCTCAAACCCAACAGGCTCCTTTTCCCTTATGAACTTGTGTGGTAAGGTCATCTTTGATGGATCCAATTTCAATGAGTGGATCAGAAACATCAGAATGATTACCCGCTATGAGGACAAAGAATATGTCCTCGATAGGGAGCTTAAGGTTGTGAATGAAGCCACTGCTACTCCTGAAGAGTTTGCGGAGTTTGTTGCACATGAAAAGGATGCTACTAAAGTAGCATGCATCATGATGGCCACCATGACTCCTGAACTTCAAAAATCCTATGAAGATTTCTACCCCTATGAGATGCACCTGGATCTGATGGAAAGGTACCATCAGAGCGCGCGTCAGGAGAGGTATGAAATCATCTCCTCCATGATAACCGCAAGGATGAAGGATGGTGAACCCATCACCGGTCACTTGCAGAAGATGCAAAGGTTCGTTGACCGGTTGCTGAAGCTAAATGTTGACTTTCCTGAGGAAATGGCGATTGACATCATTCTCCATTCCTTACCTCCAAGTTATGATCAGTTTCGTATGACTTATCATATGAACAAGGAGGAAGTCACACTTAGCAAACTTCAAGGACTCTTAAGGACAGCTGAAAATGGCCTTAAGGGTAAAGCGGTTGCTACTTCTACTCCTTCAACAGCCCCTGTTCTGGCTATTGGGCAGGGAAAGGGTAAGAAGAGGAAAAGCCCTTCGAAGGGTACCAAGGGTAAGACTCTTGATGGTTCCTCTTCAAGTGGGACAAAGAAAGGTCCCATTACTCCTTCTTCAAACCCAAAGGAAGCACAGTGCTTCTATTGCCAGGATAAGGGACACTTCAAGCGAAGCTGCCCTAAATATCTGCAAGATGTAAAGGATGGGAAGGTTAAACCCACCCATGCAGGTATTTACACAATATTGTCTAATAACTCATCTAATGCTAATTCTTGGGTGCTTGATACAGGTTGTGGTATTCACATTTGTACTGATTTGCAGGCACTAAGAAGAAGTGAGCAAGTGGAGCACGGGAAGATAAACTTAGTCATGGGCAACAGGAAAGCATCACCTGTTACCAAGATAGGAGTTTATTCTTTATTGCT